TCTCGTAGACTCAGGCACGGCACCGCACAGACGAGCGGCCAGCGAGGTTATTATAATGTACGAAGACAGGAAGGGAGGAGAGTACCAAGGGAGCATGCAACCCTAGTTAGCTGCTCGTTATTTGTTCATCCCCTCAACCAACAGTACATGCTATCAGGAACACTATCCTGCTGTTAGTAGAAACCACATGCTCTCAAAAAGTAAGCCGCCCACCCCGGACCCCGGGGAAGCGGCGAGCTGGGAGAGGACCACCACAGGGAGAGGGCCACCACAGCCAGCAGCTTCATTTAACTGGATGATGATAGGTGGTCTAAACTCACTAACTCGGTTACCGGCAACCTACTGTACTGCCGTAAATGCAAATCGCTCCGCAAATCTTGTGTCCGATGCCGTGCTATCGCCGGTTTAATATTACATTAGGCGACCGTATGGAAGACGAGGTCTTTCTAATTTCTTTCTTTCTTTCTTTCTTGCTTGCTTTCTTTCCTTCTCCTTCATTCATAAATTCCCTTCCTCCTTTTCATTCTCGCCTGCTTTCCCTTCCTTCTTTCGTTTCGCTCACTCCCGCTTTCCTTCCTTTCCTTCTTTCCTTCCTTGCTTCCTTGCTTCGTGGCCCTCTTTCAGTCCGCTTATCCTCCTCTTTCAGTCAGTGCGTCTTTAGGCTGCTATCAAAGCTGAGGCTGCCACGATAGTGGCTGCAGCAAGAAAGGATCTAGAAGAGAGAACCAAGGCTCAGGAAGCAGCAAAAAATGCGAAGACGCCTGATGAGCTTCAGGCACTAATCAACAGCAGACTGAAGAGCAGTATGGCTGGCCGTGCATCAGTACTCACGCAACCCGCCTCAAACTCAGCCCCTAGCAAATCCATGGTCACATCTCCCTCGGTAAAGGCGGAAGCAGCGGCTGTTGTCGCCACTGCACAACGAGAGCGCAACGAACGAATCGCAGCACAGAAAGCGGTAAAAACAGCATCGCCTGAAGAGATCCAGGCCATGATCAACGCGAGGCTCTCTTCGCGCTAGCCGCTTGTCTTTAATGGCGGCAAGTGTACCTGCCATGGTCGATGTGAGTCACACCAAACCCACCTCACGTCGTAATTACGGAGCTATCTCCGGGGCTATAGCCGAAATGAGGTGATGGCGGGCCCGTGCAGGGGACTCGAGGCGCTGTTAATGCGCATGGAAGCGAACTCATGGACCGGACATCATTCCAAGGGCAGTAGTAGCCGACTTTTAGTTTGCGGGTACTAGTAACAGTTTCGTCTCCGACGACCGGCCCATCGGCGTGTGCCAGCGGCGCGCGTAGTCCGAGTCGCGCTTCGCCGGACCCCTCGCGGCGAGCACGAGTATGTTCTGTGACATGCCGCCATGTGCGTTCCAGCCCTAACGTGCACCCCAAGCACGTGAGCCAAGGGCCTCCGTAGGGTGGCCCCGGCCCTGAGGAGCCCCCCCCACACGAAACGACCATTGACCCAGGGGCTGCCCCGTCGGACGCGAAGATCGCGACCGGAACACTATGTAACGCGACGCGCGCACGATGTCATGGCGCTGAAACGCACTGTGTCATGGCATGATGTTCAAAGCGACTCCGGGCCCGCCCCCTGGGCCCCGGTCGTAGCCATGACGTGCACAGGGGCGCTTCAAGCAAATCAATTCAGCGTCCGAGGGTTAGAATGTGTTCCCGCTGTGCCGGCACACGCCCAGGCCCCGGCCCCGTCGACTTTGGGCCCGACCAAACGTGCCGGCACACCGACAAAACGCTATTTCTGGTTGTGCCGGCACACTTCGCTTCGCCAGATCTGCCGGCACACTGTGCCGGCACAAGATACACCCAGCAGGGGGTAGACGCGCGCGGAATTTTTTTCGGGTCTCTAGCCTCCCTTTAGGCCCCACTCGACCCGACTAATATCCCGGCGCGGCTAGCTTAACGCAGATAGTCCCGACCGCGCGGCTTGCGCCTCGAAAGTTTTGCTTTTTACCTTGGTAGGGTGCCCCTGTGTGTGTGGTGTCTTGTGCTATTCGCCTCCCCCATGCTCAGGTCGACTCTCGGTGGGTATTTAAGTGGGTCCGCCCCGCTTCAATAGCCGGACTTGACTCTCCTACTAGTATATCTCACAGTTGACACTCCTGACTCTGGCGCTATCCGCCATTGTCACACAATGCACGTCTTTGAGCTTCTGCCTGGAGGACGAATCAACCGAGAGAACTCAATACCCCGGCCACGACCCGATGCGTGCGTTTTTCAGCGTCCGTTACTCACCGGGGGCAGCGTCTGTTTGTGAATAGGCCCAAATCCGCTCCTTGCGAAGTAATGATGACACAGCCGGATGTAAGTGACACAGGCATGAGCGTGGATCCAGAAGCTGTGTGGTCCAAATCTGGTATCGCGAGGCGCAAAATGCGCTGTAAGATAGCGGAAGCGCGGGCGGTCAAGCGGAAGAATGTTTTGCTGCGACGTCTAGCGAACGGTGCTGCTCAAGCAGCAATGCATTCTACTATTGACAGGGAGACAAGTATAGAGTTACTCCAACGCTCCAAGCAAACGAGGAGCAATAGAATAAATGACGTGATAACCGTAGCTCCGTGTGTTTCGAAATGCCTCTCGTCTGCAACACGAGCTGCAGAGACGTTCGAGGTGCGGGCCCTTCAGCGGCATCGGAACTTGCATCGGCAGAAAACCTTGAGTAAGTTCGTCGACATGAG